TCAGTGTCCACTTTAATATTAGGTGTGTGTGTGTGTGTGTGTGTATACAAACAATCAAATGGTTAGAACATCTACTTTCTGACTATGGGACCTGAGTTTGAATCTCACCATGCTCAATTTGCCGGGTAAGTGACTTTTTCATGCTATCAGGCTGGGAAGATGATTCCAGTGTGCAGTATCTTTGGAAACTGCTCAGAAGTAGTTGATTTATGTACTAGCATAAAGTCACAAGTGATTGTAACCAAGGGTTTAAGCATACTGGCATTATTCAAAATGCTGTTCATGACAGATTATGCACTCTCTCCCAAAAACTAACTTTGGTCTGCTCAAAGGTGTCTGCAAAAGGGATTGACTTGCTACACTAGCAGGTTGTTGTACTCTTAAAACGAGAGTAGCTGGTCATTATAGATATATATAACACGCACAAAAAGAATTCAACCCAACACTAATAGTGCATAAAATATTTTTCAACTTATAACTTATATTAACGTATATAGTATGTTACAAAAAGATTTGTCTATCAAACCCTGGAGATGGGGTGCAGAATTTTATATTTGTATTAATCATATATGGAAAATCTATGACAAAGTGGATATTTTTTTGTGTGCAACATGTTTCATCCTTTAGGACTTTGTCAGACTAAAGTGAGTTTTATGTTGATGTGATTACAAATGTGTGTGTGTGTGTGTGTGTGTGTGTGTGTGTGTGTGTGTGTAAATTTCTCCAAAATAAAATGCTTGCAATTCATACTGTATTTGAATGATTTGACACAGCTTCCTAAAACTTGAATGACACCTCAACTGTCAATATATTTAATAAGATAACTTATAGCTATGTACAGAATGAATATTATTTTCAGCACATCCCATAAATGCACTATCATGAGTTACTGCCTATAGATTCATTAATGATTATGAATAAACACTTGCATATACATGAAAAAGAAAAAAAAACAAATATTACACTATTCAGCAACAATAAAACTCAAGGCCAAACTTTGAACAATATTAAAATAAACTTGCTACATATGGCATTTCTTTTTTTTTCCCCTCTCCACAGCCATGGTCAAAAATTAAATTAGATAAAGAAGAACAAAGAAAAGCAATATCTTAACACATTTTCTTAAAGGTGTAGTTTCATCAAGGTCATATATACATTAGGCTTATTCAGTGAGTAAGAAACTTTAAAATGCTTGCTTATTTCCAATGGAGGGAGAAAAGCTAAAAAAATTGAGATTTTGAATGATAATTTTCAAAATTGGCCTTCTTCTTGGCAAGAAGAGTGCAGCACAATCTTCCCATCTAAATAGCCCCACCATTTGGCTTTGTGTAAGTCTGTACTTAGTAAATTCTATAAATAAATTTAAAAGTGGAAATATTTTATTTCTTCTCAGCTGATCATTAAAATATTAATAATTTGATTTTCTATTCCTGATTTACAAAAATACACCATAAATTTTCAAAGCTTCCTAGTAAAATGGGTTAATGAAATTTGCTGGTGGATGCAAATAAAACTTATGATCAGAAATGAAAACAAACAATTTTAATTAAATTAACTTATAAATAAAGAAGGTAGCAACACAAAATATTATAAATTTAAACATGGTTCAATTGAATTCTTCTTTGCTTACAAGTATAATAATCAGTAACTTTGCTGTAAAATTCTAACTTTCACCGAATCAACAGTAGCTGTTACTGACTACTGGATGCTATGCATACTGCCTGTCTTTAGTCTTTGCACAAATTTACTCTATATTTCATCTGGAAGTTTCATATTATGTAAAAAGAAATTGCTACTAGTTGAATTTTGTGTATCAGAGGTACAAATGTTCAAGGCTATTGTGTAATACATTAAACTTAAAGATATTTTTACTTTTTTATGGATTAATTTCTATAAGTTAAGCAATGTGTACCTCCTTCTTCAGAATGACACTCATTAATAGTGAAATAAATTTAATGCCAAACTGGTAAAACTTGGTTTATGATTTCAACACAAAAAACAAAAATGCTTTCAATTTGCAAATGGTCATAAATTGTCCAGAAAAAAGTGTGGACTTTGTTCATTTGAACTGACAGCAAAATAAAGAACTATTTTCTAAATGATGACAGCAAAACTGACAAGTTTGTTGTTAGAACCAAAATACTAGCTCAGCTTCATATATCAAGAAAAAGATCAAAAATACAAAACTGTTTGTGTATAAAATGATGACATTTTTTTAAATAATTTAAAATCTTTTATGATATCTTTTCTTCCTATCTCTCAAAGATAAAACATCCACTTTCCTTGACTCACTCTGCTAGCAAATCTTCTTCATTCATTTTGCATTATAAATTTTTGATGAGGAAATCTAATGTGAACCTGGTTGAAACATCCTCAGGAATAAAGAGAGTAACTTTCAAGACAGACAACTAACTTTTGCCTGTAAAAAGAATATCATTTGTTTATTTGTTGAGGGTTAGTATTATCCATTTAAACCTTCCCAATTGTGTGGTATTGTGGTCTACCAAACTACAGCCATTTGGTAAGTAACTAGGTGTAAATATAATTCACAATATATTGCAAAAACAACATGGTCCAATCAGGGAACCTTGGTCTTAATCCTGCAGACAAAGTTGGCCTCCAACTCTTTCAATATGCAGAATCTTGCAAAGAAGTGGTGGATTGGTTTTAGTTGTTTTTGTTTAGTGACATAAACACCTCTATGGGTTATTTAATGCCAAAATCTACATATTTTGTATGCAATTTTATGGCTTCAACTATATATTTGAATATAATTTTATATTTTCAGGGCAAGTGTGATTTATATATATATAGTTTGTAGATGATAAAATGTACTGTTGGTAATTTTTTTTTATAAAAATGTATTTTTATGCTTTAGTGTTATATTGCTGGTTATTTTGCTATAAAAATGTATTGTTATATATATTTTGGGAGGTATTTTTTTCTGGTATTTTTTACCATAAAAATGTATTTTTTATACTTTCCTAGTGTTTTGATTTTTGAATGTTTTGGTGGTTCATTATTTTCCCACAGCTGGGACCCTAACAGGTGCTACCACACTGACTCAGGGTTGACCTGGGAACAGCAGTAATTCAGAGGTGGTTGCATGCTAAAGAAATGATGATACCAACTTGCAACATCTTCCCTGACAACCAGACTGCAACTCACTAAAGGCAAAAATTAGTCTGCTTATATTGAGGTATTCCATCATGCTTGAACTGGGGTCAATTATATTACAAAAACCCCTAATTTACAATTTTCCAAGCTTTCCCAAATCTGGTTTGTTGAAAATCCTTCCAGATCCTCATATGCCTCTTGTTTGGATGGAGATTCACACTGGCTACATTACTAATGAGATTGCAACCAATCAACATTATCTGGTCAAATTAAGCTTTTTTCTAGTGTCCATTTTCCATCCACCCACACAATTTTGAGACTTAGCAGACTTCTGTATTTTCATGAATTACCTGCTCATTCCACAGAGGGAAAAAAAAAAAAAAATGAAACATTGATCCATTATTTTTTTTTTTTTACAAGGAATCTGTGTACACATTTATCTATCTAGTCCCATATGGTTCCTGTCTCATGGTCATTTTGTTTCACGAATTCTCATAGCACATGAGCACTTTTAAGATAAATAAAACATCAGTTTTAAGAAACATTCAAACAACTTTCTTGGCAACATCATATGTTCACATTTCACTTCCTCTATAGTTTATTTCTTTCAGTTTCAAATAGTCAATTTTACTTTTAAATAGAAAAATACAGATATTACAGTACTTTTGGTGTACTAGTAAAACTCAAATTATCTAACTTGGCTTTCTAGGCTTCTCATATAATATATCAAGTTAACCACATTCCAACTGGCCACCACATGTAAATGCATTTACTTGTAAAATCTACACTAGTAACATTTAAAAGGATATTATGTTCAAAAATCTTTTTTCTCTAATAAAAGTAACATGGTTTATGTAATAAAGGTTACTATTCTATAAAAAATGATTTCCAAATCTGGAAAATTATATACTATATGAGGTACATTCAAAAAGTATCCGACTTTATTTATGATACAGCGTGGGCAAAATCCTTTAAGTGAGAAGCGACCCCACCCTTCCTGTGCAATCGTGAAAATTTTTGCACTGGTAGGTCAAATCAATTCCCAGCTGTTACACCTAGAGTACATGTGTAGTGCACAATTGTCAGATTTTCATTTCCATGCAAGATAATTGAATGCATTAAGCAGAGATATTACATCAAGCTTTGCCAAAAGCTTGGAGATACTCAAGCTCAAACCATCCAGAAGATTCAGCAAGCAATGATGTTGCGGGCAAAACCCAGATCAAGGAGTGGTACAACCACTTCAAAAATGGCTGCACCTCAGTGGAGAGTAAGGCATGCTCAGGCAGGCCAACCAACAAGCAAAACTAGGAGCTGATTGAGAAGGTTCAGTGAATATTCATGGAAGATCGTCAAGCAACAATGCAGGGAATTGCTCATGAAGTAAGAATACACACAGGATCAGTGCATTCCATTTGTGCATGTGGAGAGTGTTCAATCTGCCCACATAATTGAAGCTTTCCTGGCTAAGAACAATACACTACTTGTTCAACAAGCTCCCTAATCTCTTGATTTGGCACTACATGACTTCTGGGTCTTCCCCAATCTGAAAACCACAATGAAAGGGAAGCAATGTGGAAATCACATGGAAAGTGACAGCAGAACTCCATAGCATTCCAGTGGTGTTGCTAGTAGTAGCACAACTGAAGTGAACTCTGAAGGGGAGTATTTTGAAGGTGATTAAATAAAATTTGTGAAATGTACAAAATTGATGTTTTTTATGCCCAAAGGTTAGATACTTTTTGAATGTACCTCATATAAATAGAAAAAATTTTACAACTCAGAATAAAGTCCCTAAAAATGAAAAATGAAATTACTAATAAAAATGTTAAAAATGACAAAATAATAAAAATTGACAAGAATGAAAAAAAAAATATACTCACTTGGGATCAACAAACTGTTTAACCATTTTTCCATCTGGGAATGTAACAAATATTTCCTTTTTGGGGCTTTTTGGCAACTTTTCTTTGTATGGAATCTGTGGTCCTGATTTTGAAGGTAAAGGCTGGACAATATTTGTGTAGTCTTCTACTGGAGAATTCTTTAGTGCCTTAGCAGCAATTGAGGGTGAAGGAGCCTCTTTTGATCTAAATGGGATAGACATAGGTGTTTTTGGTGACCTTGGTGGTTTTTTAACAAGCATTGATTTTGAGACATGCTTCAAAGGAGTAGATACCTGGTAGCTTTTATCAACATTTTCAGGATTGTAGTGTCCTTTTGGTGTTTTAGGTGATGATTCATAGCTGTTTCGTTTTTGTTTGGGAAAGGATTCCTGGTAACCATTACTGTACCCTTGTGTAAAAGGACTACAGTGGTTTGGTGATTGGTGACCTTCATTAAATTGTGGGTAAGAATTATAATTATCTCTGGGATATTGTGAAGCATGGGAAGGATTACCATATTCTTGTGGTGATGGCTGACCACTATGACCTAGAGGAGATGATGGTCCACTATGGTTAATTAAAGGGGATAGTCTACTGGGGTCATGTGGAGAGGATTGTCCACTATGGCAATAGGAAGTGGGGCCACTATGACCAAGAGGAGAAGAGGAACCACTGTGGTCATAAGATGGTCGGCCATTTCCATAGGAGGAAGCTGGAGAACCAGTGACATGAGCAGGAGAGCCATCAAAGTATGGAGAAGATTGGTGTGTCCCATGTGAAGGGGAGGCATAATCTTTAGTGTAAGTATCATATTCAAATGGGTGGTGATCAGTATCTACTGGTGGAGTATAAGAGTCAGGAACTTTTGATGCACATTTTTTATAGTCAGATTGTCCAAGAGAATGACTGTGATCATATTTTGAAGAGCTTTGTCCATATGTCTGACTGGAATCCTGAGAAATGCTGTAAGGAGGTAAATCAACACCTTGAGCATGAGGATGGTAAGAGTGTGCAGAGTCAGGCAAATAAGACTGCTCATCAGAATAAGTATAGTCATTAGTATAATACATATTTGGGTCTTGAGACTGACCACTGCTTTCAGGATAAGTTTGAGCAGCAGGCCCTTTACCAATTGAAGGAGAAATGGGTGGTGCTGCTTTCCTGCTTGTAGGATAGCTGGATCTTTTTTCCATTGAAGGAAGACTGGATGGTGGTGCTGCACTACTTATTGCAGAGTTAGGTCTGTTAACCATAGGTGGGTAAGGCGGTACTTGGACTCCATTGTCTGGTAGGCCTGAAGAGGGATAAGTAGGTGATTCATTTCCTCTTCTTCCTGTTGATTGTGGAGCAGAACTGGTTTTGGAAGATGGGTTCCCAAGAGTCCCATTTTCAGCTTTTGGTGGCTTCTTTTTGGTCTTTCCCTTCATCGTAACAACCCCACCTTTCTTAGAAGACAAATTCTTTCTGGAAAAGATTAAAAAACAAATTTAAAAACATGTATACCTTGCATCATTTTTTATACACTAAATTATACTTTTCACATTCGCTTAGAGAAAGCTTAAATATGATTTGTTTCAAGGTTATTTGAAAAGCAAATACAATCAAATGCAATATGTGAGTTAAACTTTCATGTTGATTGAAACATGTGAAGGTCAACAATAGTGATTATGGCATTTTATTGCTACTACCTGAAAACATGTAAAGTGGTTATGAGAATGTTTTTGCCAAAGTAATCCTTCTTTATCAAACATTGTGTCAGTGATGAAACATTTTGTCAAGACCTGGTACATCATGCAGTGGGACAAGGGGAACTCTTGCCTTTCCCTAATATCATTGGTGTAAAATGAGGATAAACTGCCTCAGCTAGAATTCAAGTATGTTTCCCAATTCAATTATCTGTTTAGATAGAATAGCATCCTTTACTTCAGTCCAAGACATAATGCAACTGATGCCCAGAACTGGAGGCCTATCTCAAATCTCATCATTCTACTAAGAGCAAAGATTTTTTTTTACTTTTCATTTGTGTTAGTTTGTCAGCTTAAGAAATTCATAAAAGTTCCTCCTCTTTATTCTGATAGATTTTTTTTCTTTATCATAGTGTTATTACAATTAGTATATAATTTGGCAAGGCTTTGAATCCATCACTGCCCACCTTGTTAATAAGGGTGTATGAAATCTAACATGCATTTTAATCTGAATTAATTATCCATGTTAAAACAGTTTTAATGAAACAAAAACCACATTGGAATGATAAATTCTGAAACAAAAATATAACATAAAATAAACAGGAATGTATTTTATTGTTTAGAAATAAAGTAACTATTGTAATACTAACTTATTTTTCATAAATATACATTTTTTTTTTTATTATAGATGTATAATAGTAAAAGTAGGAAGAAACTGAATCTTAAAAATGCATGTGTTAGCAGCAGGGTTATCATTATGGTTTTATAGACGGTTTACAATATCTAAAATTATCAGATTGATATTGAATCTAATTATGACATTAACTTCATATAACATTTTAATATATGATTTTTCATTAATTTTATATAAAAAAAATCGATGTTTGCTCCTATTTTTGTAATGGTAAACTAAAATTCAACATTTTTTTAAAAAATACCTTTTAAAAAGAAAAACACAAATTACTCATAAAAAATTAAATACTAACATCAATATATTTGTTATTATGAATAAAAATATCATACGAAAATATTAAATTATATTTAACAAATAATAGCATTTGTAAATCAATTTAACAGTGTAAAAACAGAATCAAATAAAGTCTTCAGGAGAAAAGTTTCTGAAAAATTAAACATAACAAAACTTTATTTTAATAAACCTTGTTGGTAGAAACTTTGTAACATTTGTAAAAAGACTACAAAAAATAAGTTATTTCTTTAAATCAAGTAAAATTAAAATGTTAACTTCAACATACTTTTTTTCATTTGCTAGAAATAGAAATACAGATTGCACAAAAATAAAGTTAATTAGTGTATTTACTTTTATGAATAAAAAAATTCAAAGCGAAGTCTATCAAATTAACTTTAAGTGAAAAATGTTGAATTAACTTCCATGTAACAAACCCAAGTTTCCTAAATTACATTTATTTAGTGAATTTTATGCAAAAAAAAAAAAAAGTTTGCTTTTACAATGAAAACATAAAATAATATAGCAAGTCCTAAGGAAATAAGTAAATCTTATAATTATTCTAATTAAATAAACTCAAGTTATTCCAAATGTAAAAAGCAAAAATTTTATAGAACCAATCATAGCTTTTACCAACCATACCCATTTTGCAAGGGTCCATTTATTATTACCCATCTGAAATTATATGTTAGCTTCCATTGTTGATAAACTTCCTGGATTTATGAATCTGAGGGCATTTCAAAAAATTTCCACAGAATATGAAAAAGAATGCATTCCATATGGGAAGAACACTTTAGGCTCTTAAACAAAAATAAATAAATAAAATGAAAAATAGTGGAACTTATTATCCACTACTTACAAAGACACACTAAATTTAATTCTAAGGAAAGACATCAGTTTAACATAAGATTAAAATAACATATGAAAATGAAAAAATGATTTCTGTTCGAAAAACACATGCTTAATAAAGACAAGAGATAAATGGTTGGAATAAAAACAGTAAGAATGATGATATTGCACAGAGTACACATGTTAATCACAAATAATCTCTATTTGAAAAGCTATAATTTCGTTGTTACTTTTTTTTTTTTTGACACGTTTCAAGTAATGATAGCCATCCCTTATTATTTCCTGTCAGATATATGAGAAATCTAAAGATAGTCACTTGTTTGTAGCATCTCCAGTCTTCACGGCTCATAACAACTACCCATATTCTTCAGATTATAAGAGATTAAAAAGATGAATCATTTTTTGTGGTTCCTTCAAAAGCTTTTTAGATTTGCATTCAAATTTAAACCAAGATTTTGTTAACTGCTTTTTGATAAACCATTTCAAAATGGTTATTTAATAACTTATCCAAATTCTGATGAATACAGCACGCAGCAGAATTAGACCCAAAATTGAACAAGAACAGTGCAATTTCATGGAACAAGAAATGTGATATTTATGTTTTAGAATGATATCTGAAAGAATACAAATGCAAAAGGATGTATACCTATGTTTTATAAATTATGCAAAAGTATTTGATAAAGTACGATACAAAGAACTGTTTGAACTGCTAAGTAAGCTTGATTTATTGGAGAAGGATATTAGAATAATACAGAACTTATACTGGCAGCAAACTGCCTGCATATGGATAGAAAATGGAGTAAATAGACAAAAAGAAAAAAGGGTGAAATAGACAAAAATAGAAAGGGATATAAGACAAGGATGCATCTTCTCACCAGACTTATTCAACCTTTACACTGAAGCAATCTGAGAAAATTAAAAGTCCTACCAGGATTCATTAATGGCAGCCACAATCTGAACAAAACATTAGCTGTTCAGATAACTCAGGACTTCCTATAGAAGGTAGTAAAGGAAAGCAAGAAGGACTAAACATTAATTGTAAGAAAATAGAACGTATGGTTGTCAGCAAAAGGAATGGCCCAACATACTTAGCATTAGAAAAAGATAGTTGAAATTTCTAGGGTACGTAATGAGGAAAGAGGAATTAGAAAATTTGACAGTATATGTTGAAGGCGAGAGAGGGCACCTAAACGAGGGGTAATGGTTAGCAAGCTTATCTTGCAAGAACAATTATGACAGAGTAGTGAGTTCGATCCTCACTGGGCATCTAATATTTTCAACTTTGTGCCACATTTATAAAATCACCATATTAAAGACAAGAGAGACAGAGGAAGAAGCACTACAAAGGACAGGAAATTGTGGAGAACAATGATCGCCAACACCTTGAAGGGACATGGTACATAGAAGAAAACTTGGACATTTCACTACTAATTTTATTGTGATGGGGGGGGGGAGAAAGACACAATTTTTCTTATTTAACCACAATAAAAAGAAATGTAGAAATTTTAAAGCTTCACTAACTTATGGTGTACAAAGTTTCTTTTAAAGATCATTGTGATACCCTAAGTTAATTGTTATTGCCACAATTTTGATAAAAAAAAAAATAGTTCAATCAAGTAATTCTAAATTCCAAATTATTCAAATTATAAAAGTATCAATCTTTAAATAATGCAGTGAAATTTATTGCATATCAAATAAATTTACAAGCCATTTTTCATATTTCTAATTGTCTGGTTTATTTGTAAATTTACATTTCCTTCATAGAAGCTTTTTATGAATTTATATTCAATATATTACTTATCTTCCTAAAATTGCTTTTAAAGAGAATACTGAAAAACAGTATGCCAAATAATCCAAGTGTTATAAATACTTATTTTAAATTTTTATCCAGTTGGGTGCATGTGCTCCAATTGGTAACTAATACTCTACTGGCACTATTTTGGTGATGGGAAAGTTAATAGCAGAAGCATGAAGGAACAAAGTTCGTACCTTCCCAAAAATAACACAAATTACTTTTGCCAAATATGCATGAATAATAATAATTTACAAGTAAACAGTTCAAAAGAATTTGAAATCAATGCTGGTTATGAATAAGTTGGTTTGGTTTGGTTTGTCTGTTTGTTTTACCAGCATATCAACCCACATAGGTCAATGGATAAGTTGAGATGAATTACAAAGTGAAGGAGAAGAAACTGAATTTGATCTGAAGACCAGAAGAGAAATCATTAGCTTTTAGTTATCAAGTGAATGGCAGCAGTAGATGAGGGTGAACATTTCATTTGGCATAAAAGCTTCTTGATAGCTATGAGTTACACTTGTGGCTCATAATAACAATGACATTAGTGTCATTACAAGGAAAGTCCTTACCCATCAACACATATCCTACCCAATGTTTTATCTATTTCATTGCAAAAGAATTTATTGTTCACACATTTCTCTGCTAATATTTTCACTCACATACAATTCTATAACACTGTTAATGGGATTATAATCTGAAGCAATGAAAAGAAAACATTCCTATAAATTTAATAGACTAAAAGGAGTAATATTTCCTTCACACCCCTAAAATACATTGTCACTAGTTAATTTACTGCTAATGTAAATATGTTTCTTGTGGCCAATCAATGATAATAATGCTTAATCAATGAGATTTTAATATTTTTGGCATTACTACCATTTATTTTGATAGAATGTATGATTGTCAACAAAAGAGACAGCCCAAAGTGTATGTATTGGGTTTTTTGATTGGTCTATTTTTTACAGCTTATCAACCCTTTGCATTTTATTTAAAGCCAGAAAATATTTTTAGATTGTAAGAATTTTTTTTTTTTTTTTGAAGATAATAATGGTCTAGTGACACAAATCTTACTAATTAACCTATAGCTGGGGGAGAAGAGGTGAATTCATACCTGATTAGAATTTGATAAACAAACAAATGTGGATATAAAGTAGGGGATCAATTCTAT